ACTCAACAGGTGGCGCTCACTGGGCAACTCTAGAGGGCTGCGAGAAAAATGATCAAGGTGATAGTGGTGTTTGGCCGAGTCATCCAGTGATTAGCGGATTACAAGTGACATAAGATTCTATTTGTCACAATTTAATCAGACCATTGAATCCTCTCAAAGGCAATAAAGCCTGTTTTAGTCTTCGGTATGGCTTCTTCTACATGTAACAGACTTTTGCTCCTTCATTCCTATTAAATCCACTTGAAAAATGCGGCCGAGAATTACACTTTGTGATCTGATCATGGTAAGGCCATTTAGTATTTCTCGAACGGTTAAACGATACGCCTAGGATACGCCAGCTGGGCGGTCTCCTTTTTTTGCTAACTCAGCCTTTATACCAAGCACCAATTAGGAGCGAAATAAAAATTGCCAGACTATCCAACATAACCCTAGAGTATAGGAGTTCTTAACTGATTTGTTTCAGAAAGCATTCGGATTTAAAATGTACTTCGTACACTATGTTGTGCTGAAGACATTACTAATATTCGCCCTTTTTTCCTTTAATATAGTACTCATTCACCCCTGATTTTGCGTACTCGGAAGAAAACGCGCTCTTTTCTGGAATGTACGGTGTTATTCTTTCATTTCAAACGACTGCTATCAGTTTTTCACGATTTTATTGAGTTTTTAGATAGTGCCGTAAATTTTTTCGCCACTTCATTATCTGTTGCTTACAAAATAATGGAGGTTGGATTAAAGTCGGTTTTTAAGATAGAAACGCAATCCCTCTACAGTATTTGACGGTCATCCTCCATTGATATCTAGCCACTTAGTAGCTTGTGAAAGCGGTGGTTGTTAAGATCTACTCAAACAACGTGGACCATGCTAGTTCTTGTAGAAACCATACACGTTTCGTAACTAATTCTCTCGTTAGAGGCCAGGTGGAATTTTACTAGAGACCACTTTTTCAGCTGAAAGGTATTTATTTCATAGAACTATGTCATTGTGCACTATTTTGGAACATTTAAAACTAGGTTAAATTCGATATGTGGTGCGTTGCACTAATTTTCAGCATTAACCCATTAAATCCCCCTCACATGAGGGATCTTGAGCCGGTTAGTCGCGAGGCTACGTGGCGCGTCCCCAGGTGGCAGATAGGGGGTTAATCGCGGACCAAAAGCGAGCTATGCTTCCCTGAGACGCAGGTGGATCCAAGGGATGGACTCCCTGTTTCTGCTGCGCTAATTTGGCACATACTTTCTGTTTGCTAGGCGTATTCATGCATGCGTGTGTGAGTGCGTTCTTGCTTATGCGGATTGTATTCTACGAGTCAATTCGGCCAAAAACCTGCAATCAAGTGACTAGGAAGTATATGGGAGGCGGCTAAGAGTCGCCTCCAGCAAGTAAGCTCGATGTACACTCTGGGAGAGCCTGGAAAGCCACCCGTTAGTATACCCATCTCCAAGTTCAGAGCCCAGCAAGCTATACGTGGGTATCAAAAATGCTAAACACAGTGAAAAAAACCGGCTTCACTCCCTTGACCCCGAAAGAGCTCCCAATTTTGCAGCGTTGGGTAGGACGAGTACGGAGAGGCTGCTAAAATCACAAGGCCAATGAAAGCTGCCTAAATTTCAAAGAACTATGGTGACGATCTGTACCTACAATGCACATACACTTGCATCCGAGCCCTCAATAGAAGACTTGCTCATGCAAGTAAGAAAGATAAGGTACGATGTCATCGGCCTGGCCGAGACGAGAAGACGCCAGTCTTCCAACGCCATCTATGACACCGCAAAAGAACTGTTCCTTGAAACATGCGACAGTAGAGTCGGTGGCCTGGTTGTTCTCGTCAACACGAGTTTGTCCATGAACATCAATTCATTCGAACAGCTTACAACTCGAATCGGAAGTTTGCGATTAGGAAGACGTGGATCAATTTTGGCTTTGACAAACTTCGTCGTTTATGTGCCGACATCAAACTATGATGAATAAGAAGTCGAAGCGCTCTATATGGACTTGAAGAAGTTCTACAGAAAAGACCACACATTCTTCAGTGCCATAATTAGAGATTTCAACGACAAGATTAGACCAAGAAGAACGTCTAAAGAACGTCACCTTGGGACCCACGGATTAGAATGGAACGAACAGAGTGGGCGGCTGTCTGGATTAATCATGGCGACCAAGACAATCCTTGGTAGCTCGCAATTCCAGAAGCCCCAGCCTCAGAGCTGGACGTGGGAGTCTCCCAATGAAGAGTACCATAACCAAATAGACCACATTATCGTAAGTAGAAGGTTTGCTTAACCGATATCGCTGTTGTACCGAAATTCTACACGGGAATAGACCGTCGTCTCCTTTGTGCAAAATTCTGTTTTTCGCGGAAAGGAGAAAAAGAAGCAAAATTCCGAAACCGAAGTTCCAGAACCACCATAAACTGGGACTTAATCAATTTATTAGTCGCCTATTAAGAAGATGCCGTTGTCGATAACATCGACAAAGAATACGATCGGCTCATTCAACATATTCACGTAAGCGCTGTGAATACTTCGAGTTCGAAAGTCACCAAGAGCCGCCTGTCTCCAGAAACACATGAGTTGATAGGCCAGCGTGGAATCGCATGAGCACAGGAAACCGTGAACTCTCGTCCGAACTTGCAAAATAGCGCAGGCAGGCTACAAAGGAAGATCTTATAGGGAGGGGGCAGCAATTATGGTCGAAGCTGCAGAGGCTGAGAAAAGCATTGGCAAAGCCAAGCAAGGCTTGGCCAATTACGAGACTAATATGATTGCACTCCGACCCCCTGATGGAACTGTTACAGGGCTCAGAAAGGCAATGGAGAAAATCGTTCACGAATACTACTCACATCTCTTGGATATCCACATCCACCTCACGTCATATGAAAAAAAGTAGGATGTAACTCGTATGAAATGCTGAGATATTTGCAAAACTCCAGACCACAGGTGTATGCAGTGGAGAACGAACACGAGCTGTTGTCCTTACCGGGGAGCAGCGCACTTCACCACTACACTATCCACCATAAAAGTAGGATGGATATGTTGCACCACGGCTTCTCCCATCCGAAATCCGACTTACCATTTCGTTGGTGGAAAATCGAACAGCACAAGGTCCGGACAAGATAAAACCAGAAGACTTGAGGAACCTTACGCAAGCCCTCTTAAACACACTGGCTCGGCTCTTCACGCGTTACCTGTCTGAATGTAGGGTCTCTACTCAGTGGAAGACCAACAAGACCGTGTTGTTGTTCAAGAAGGGTGACCTGCACGATGTCGGCAACTATGGTCCAAACTGCTTACGTCGTTTACAAACTTTTCACTCGAGTCAACCTTAACAGGATTAACAGAACACTAGACGAAAGACAGCCATGTGAGCAAGCAGGGTTTCGAAGAGGATTTAGTACGATAGACCACATCCACACGGTAGCACGTCTCATTGAAGTATCGCGAAAGTGCAAAAGTCGCTCTGTCTCATTTTCATCGATTTACAGAAAGCCTTTGATTCAGTTGAGATGGAAGCAGTCTGGGAAGCCCTTTATAGCCTAGGAGTCCCTACTCAGTATACAAAGATTCTTCGTAGGCCATACAAAAATTTCACAACCAAGGTATCACCGTTCTACGACGATATTAACATTGACGTGAAAAGAGGAGTTAGGCAGAGCGATACCGTTTCGCCAAAATTATTTACCTCCACCCTCCGGAACGTCATGCGAACATTGGAATGGGATAGTATGGGAGTGAAAATCGATGGTCGACAGCTACGCCACCTTGGCTCTGCTGATGACATCGTCCTTATAACACCAAACATTAGCCAGGCGGAACGTATGCTTGCCGACTTTGACAAGGCCTGTGGAAGGATTGGTCTTCGAAAAAATCTCACAGAAACGATGTTCATAAAAACGGATTAGTTTTGCATGCACCATTCACTTTCAACGGAACGAATATCTCCGAATGCTCCAGTTATATCTATCTAGGTCGGGACATCAATATGGTGACCGATCTAGCTCCAGAGCTAGGCAGAAGGAAACGAGCGGCTTGGTGAGCTTTCAAAAGCATCGAGGATGTAGTGAGAAAAACAGAGAACATCCCCCGACTCCGTGCCCACCTTTTCGACTCAACGGTACTTCCTGCCCTAACGTATGCGTCAGAAACCCGGTCGCTGCGTAAGCAAGAAGAAAGGTCATTCATCGTTATCGAACGCGCAGTCGAAAGGACGATGGTAGGAGTATCCCGTTCCACACAAGTAAGGGATGGGATCCGGAGCTCCGATCTCCGTCAACGATCATAAAGCAAGTTGTTGTTTTGTACGCCACACAGTCGAAGATAAGGTGCGCCAGACACGTAATGCGTATGAACGACAATCGATGGGCAATAGCCGTTTGTGACTGGATTCCTCGGAATGTCAAACGTACTGCAGCAAGACCACTGACGCGATGGTCAGAGTTTTTTCACAAAGAGCCTTGAAGAAAGATATGATGCTCGAGGAGTTCCTAGAGCGAGCAGAACCCACTGGGCTACTCTTGCAGTGGTCTTGCTGCAGTACGTTTGACATCCAGAGGAATCCAGTCACAAACGGCTATTGTCCATCGATTGTCATTCATACGCATTACGTGTCCGGCGAACCTTATCTTCGACTGTGTGGTGTAGGAAAATGTAAGATTTACTGGCGCCTGCTCGAGTCACCCGACGATCAACGGTACTGCAGGTGATATAGGTGAATCTATTAAATGTTGCACAACCCTTTATCTAATCGAATACTAGGTCCAGAGCTGAAAGACTGAGCACCAACCTTTGAGATCATTCGCTGAGATTGGATTTTGGTGTCTTTAACAGCGTGTTTCCCATGTATTCATGACAAAGAAAAGTAGCAAGTGAAAAAACTGCTGAAATCGTCCACTTCTCTGCACTTAACCTGAGGCAAGGTAATAAGACGTGTTGTACAAAAAGCTTTATTACCAGGTGCACCTGTCCTCTTACACGTCCTGTCGAATACTTAACGTTGGTCTGATGTTCGTTAAGGATCTTTTAGACCTCGAAATCTCTGTTGGGTATAGGTGGGTTGGTACTATAGTAATAAAATTAGTCTTTTTCTTTTTCACGGGACACATGAAGGTCAACAAAATTTTGGACAATTGGGTTACTTTTACTAGAAATATTCTTGTCTCTACCAAGACAAATTTTTGATCCATATGTCTAATGACTCAAGAAGAAAAAGTGCTGCTGGAATGTGAGCATGCACTAACAAAATCCCATTAAAGTAGAATATTCTATTAAAACCACAGTAGAACGTGCTAATTAGTGATCAGTTTCGTTTTTCTATTTCACTGAAATGCCTCCCTGTTAAGAACGTCGGCATCGGCAGTGCTCATAGCGAGAGATCGAATCCTTAAAGAACAACTTTTGCCTTCATATGAGCTCAAGTAAGTCTGTTGAAGCTGGTGCTCACAAATGCATAAAGGCTTAGTATTCTCCGGATAGAATTTATCGTAAAGGAATAATGAGGAGTACAAATAACTGAGAAATTTCTGCTAAAATTCTTCCCTTATTTTAATCCCTATTTGTTGTTTTCCGCTTTCAGCTGCCTTCATAGATTGAGCACCTTAGTAAAGAAATAAATAACCATTCTTCTACCTCAAACATACATGTTTAAATAAGTTCGAATTAGAATTTGAACTTGTAGTATAGGATGGAGTTTCAGCTTTACTTTGAGATTCGATGAGTGCGATGAGAAACTGGCAATCGGATTGTCTACGGAGCTGATTCGCAATGAAAACGTTGACGTTATTATTGGGCCTAGCTGCGCTGCTGGTAAGTAATGGTGTCATAATAGTTGATTATAGCGCTTAATGGGCCACTACGTTGCTTAATAATCAAAAATCTGGCTTTATAGTTGTTTATGAATACGCTTATCAAGACCTGTCACACCTTCTGGTTTCATTCGTGGCTTGCTCGATATACTATCGAGCCCATTTCCTTGCGGCTCTTAGTGTCCCACCCTCAATGTCTTTTACCAGTACCATAAAGTTTATTTTCAAGCGACATCCAGATTTCCAAGGAATACGTTTAACATTAAAGTGAAACGAAGCATGGGCCATCGACTCGGATCGTCGGCTCTGAGGAAGACGAAGACGTCGAAACGTTAGCCGAAAACAAATATCATTATCAACCTCGTGTAAGCTCATCAAAGAAAGAAAAGTAAAACGGAGATGAAATGGTGGTTGTAGAGCTGGATGCTAAAGTTTTTATAGCATTCCGTTATTTTTGAAATCCTTCCAAGGCTCTAACTCAATTTTGCTAATCTTGTGAAAAGCAGTGGTCTACTGCTTGATATTTTGAAATTAACGTCATCAAGGGACAGTTGTGTAAAAATTAAATTGCGATTTTTCAATGTTGGTGCTGACTTCTCGAGACTGGATCGAAATAGTTATTGAGTGACGAGCGGTAAAATTCTAGTCGCGAAGTTCCTATGGGAATCATGTAGGATATTCAAAACGAACATCCAGATTGTCGTACGTTTCTACAAAAGTTCTACAAAAGTCAACTGAATCAGCTGCGTTTAAATGAATTTGTGACAAAGACAAAAGAGCAAACAGCCGAAATTTAGCGCTTTCCCAAGTATTCGAAAAGGATCTAAGGTGTCCTCCATTCTTCCTCATTGCTCATTGCAGCTGTTCAATAACAACATAGCTACTCAAAAAACATAATTTTGTTGGTATGATGCCTTCTATTTCTACCTTACCGGCGATATGATAGAAATAGATGCTTTGCTGGAATTTCTCAGGACATGGATTTATTGGTCCGCCATATTGAAATACCGAGCTCCTTTTTAGAATAAATGACTTTGCCGCTGAAGGAAAGAATTCATACTTGCATATCGCAGTCTGACGCTCAGAATTACTGCCGGTCACGACAAGGAATTAAAGAAGTGTGACATTGCGTGAAAATGTAAACACTCCATATTTTTACTATGCCTTTCCTGCATACTCTTATAGCATAACTAGGTCTCAGTTTCTTGGCATGATTTGTGCCTCCTGGAAGGTCTTTGATTGTTGTATGAGTTCCTAGAAACGACATGTAGTTAAAGTTCCTATCTACTACTTGTTAGAATGCTGATATCACAGTGGTAGTGATGCCGATAATCTCGAGTACGGTGTTCGCTCGATCTCACCCCAGGCCCACCAAGCCCCTCATTCTCCAAGGTCAGAAAGTTGGTGCCGGACTTGTTCAGAAAATGGTCACTTTGAATGGTGGATGATGAATGGGAGGAAAACGAATCAAATGTAGGAAGTGCTGGTATCCCCATAGTAGACGTAAAGACGGATCGTGTAAAATCAAAAAAAATCGACTGCCATATTTGATTTTTTAGAATGCCGTTCGGAGTCATCGTGTTCTTCAAAGTCTTCAAAGGTGCTAGCACAAGGGGAATTTAAGTTTGCTTGAATTAACGAAGTAGGTCCACCTAGCTGAGGTGGCTTTCAAATAAGGTAGTTGATTTCCTGTGATGTTAAACGAGTTGATAGAGTTGAGTAAGTTGAGTTAGTGGTCTAGTTGATCGTTCTATAAGCGCTAGGCGGCCAACCGCAAACTCGAGTAATGTGACCTTTACGTAAAGCAGCATTCGTACAGCAATACCAGAAGGGCTATGTCAAAAACGTAGGTATAAGAAATATAGACAGTAACCTTTTTTATTCTATTCTTTTTAAAGGCAGGGTACTTTGCGAAATATAGCTACTATAATGTTGAGATATTTGCAAAGCTCCAGATCGCAGGTGTCTGCGACAGGGAAAGAACGCGCTATTGTCCTTTCTGGGGAGTAACGCGTTCACCACCACATCATGCGGGTATAAACAGTAACATGTTCAGTGAGTAGAGATGACGTGATGAACAAGAAAAAACACTAAAAATGGTAAAGCATCTTGTGCAACTGGGCAATATTTGATAGTTGATACTTGAATGGCTCGTTCTCACTGGTTGTGCGGGCACAAGCATAATCTTCATTTTTCGGAGACTTGGTGCTTAAGCCATTATAGTTTCCTAGAGTCCCGAGGTCAGCCTGGCCAAAGCCAGCCCCAGGTTTTCACCACCACAGGCAGTCGCAGTCCTTGTGGATCAGAGGAAGATTTACCGCCATGCTACTTTGATACCACGACGATTGTGGATCCTAATACTGGTTTACTTCTACCCAGGCTTCTTGATGGAAACCCCAGACTTGTTCTCAGCTTGAAACATCCTTCCAGGAGATGAATCCTCCGCTATATAGCGCAGTCCGACACCCAGGAACACCTCCCAACCACGATGAGGCGGTAAACCGTTGGGAAACGCAACTGAGTAATACGAAAGAAAAACTGTGACTATGCATCATTGTCCAACAAAATTGTGGTCAGGCCGAAAGAGGATAGGATTTTGCTGCGAATCCACAGATCACCTGCGGGTGGACCCTATACACAGTATGAAATGCTGAGATATTTGCAAAACTCCGGACCACAGGTGTATGCAGTGGAGAACGAACACGCGCTGTTGTCCTTACCGGGGAGCAGCGCACTTCACCACTAGACCATCCGGGTCCTTCGCTTTGCATGTCCCTATACACAGTGTTCGAGCTGGCTAAGCATGCAGCAATTTCAAATCAATACATCGCTAAGAATCTTAAAATGAATATAAGGTGCCATGATCAGGAAGACGAGGCTGCGGTGCTGCCATACCCATGTGTGGAACCTTCTCAGCCGCAGAGCCCAAATTGTAACGAAATCGATGCATAACGATCAGTAAAGATTAAGCCATCAGTTAATCTCGTTCCACAACAGGTGACAACAGTGAGCGACAAACAAAATGCAATTAATTGGTCGCATTTGCCGACAACCAACACATCATGCAAGGCCTTGGTTTCGCCTTTTTTTTCAGCTGTATTTTATGGGTGCTATCAGCGATCACAGGTTAACAGGATTGATATAGCTTCAGCTTAACTGGATTCGATGCCAATTTGTGCTTCCCAGATCACTCCCTCTGACGGGTGATTGTAATATCAGCGTTAGGTAGAAAACTAGCTGAGAGGAACGCAGAGGAAGACCTTCAGTGGTGCTGCGCAATACGCAAACGCCAGGAAAGGGTGTTCGTGGTTCGGTCTGGCCCGTGGTCCAAATTTTGCGAATACCTCGGCATCGCTGTGCTTATACTTATTTATACTGCCTAGTTTACTCGAACTCGTTATATAACTATCGCTTCGAGGTCATCGCCATCTTCCGAGCGGATGGTTCGAGTCGATCGTCTACACCCATTTATCCTCACGTTGTGGATTTTCCTAGTCGCGTCAAGTTGAATCTTCATGAGTGATGCTCCACTCGAACGAAGTAATCCTAGTCGACGGTTTCCTCCTATACAGAACGGTTGCTGGAAGATTGTCGACTAGCAACGACTTCTTTTCGTTTCAGCAGTCCATTTTGCAACATTCGGTCTTAGAATAGCTATTTCATAAGCCCGTTAACTATTTAGACAGATATTTCTTAAAATATCTGAATTTGAAAAACTCACCAAGATTTCGAATTGAATTTTTGTCATCCTTGCTGCCCAAGTACTTTATTACGAGCTTTTGAACGAACTGACATGAAAAACACAGTCCGAAAGCGTTTTAAATAAAGATAATTACATGCATGGCTAAAGTATGGAGTCGAATTTTCGCTTCCATTATTTCCTTACATTTAAGTATGTGAAGATCACATATCGCCTTATGAAGGTGAAGTTTTTTTCAGCTGCTCATGTAGCAGCAGTGAATGCTGTCTTTTACAATCTTCCGATATTTACCTGGGGATTGAGCACTTCGTATTCTCTGAGTGACATCTCGCGGTATCCTACTGTTGGTGTGCTTTCGGTGACTTCATACAGGTAATTTGTTGCGGAGTGTTTTTTGAATGACTTTAGCTTCGCAATTATACAATAGTGGCTGTACGTTAATAGATAAGGGTATCAATTGTGTTTTTTAGAAGGAAGATCCAGAAGGTAGACTTTTATCCGTTCACTGTGAATGATTTAAAGAAAACTTTCGTACAGTTCTTTGTAGTGATCTAATAATGTTGAAAATTTGAACACAGTACTGAAATCTGAAGAATTCGCCACTTGACCAGAAACTGTAGTAAATTTCGGTACAGTCTCGGAATTGCGATCCAATCCGTGCTGTCATCCTTCGGATGGAAACAGGTCGCCTTTGTCTACTCCAATGAGCGCGACAGGCAGAAGTGTTCAGTAATGAAGAATGACATACAGATACGTTTTTCGTACTTTTAGCCAGTTACTTCTTTAAAACTCTTTTATCCTGGCTTTTTTTTCGCGTAGAGCTGCTGTATTAATTTGTAGGCTGTGTATGGTCGCACTGAAATGCATACCTTATTGGATTATTGAGCTAACACGTGGTTGATAAAAACGTTTACTCGGCTAATGCTTCGACCTCTTCGTATTTACTTGACCCGATGATCCTTGTCGATGGTCCATAGACTGCCTCTTCTTGATGTGGTGTCTTCATCATATGGACTCGAATCTTCTTCAGTGGAGTACCGCTCGGATAAGGCAACTTCATTTGGCAGCGCTCTTTGATACAGGAAGGTTATTGTTGATAATAACTATCCTTTGATAATAATTTGTTTTTCAATGGGTAATCCATCCTGCTCCAGACGGTAGTATGTCAGCTGGCACATAACGAATAGCCAAAGACATCGACACCACATCGAGAAGAGGAACGATTATTGATCATCGACTCCAATCATCTGCTCTAACGAAGCCGAAGACGTCAGACTGTTAGCCGAGGAACGAGCTTTATGAACCCCATGTAAGCTTAACATTCCGAGAAAGTGTAGGCTCGTACTGCCGAGGTTAAATGATGGTCGGTTTGAAAAATACTGAAATCTACGTTGCAGTTGTAAAAATTACGATATTTGACGGCTGAGGAAATCCCACAGAAAGGTCGATCTAAAATCCTTGAGGGGTTAAATTAGTCACGGTTTTGTAAACATTATTTTCGCCAGCACTTTCTTCTTCAGTGCAAACAACGTGAAGAATATATTTCAGTATGGTGTAGAACTATCCATAGTTAACATCAAGCATTAGGATTATCTCCGTTACTGCCATCATCGTGTTCCTTCTTCATTTTTTTTTAACATTGTGATAGTGTCATGTTTTGATTTTAAAGTTTTCCTTTAAATACTCAAAGTCGCTTCAATGTTCAAGCGGTTACGAAATCAGAATTATTAGTGCCAATGCATCTTTCCCAATAGTTACAAGGCAAAAATTTCGAAACCTACTGAAGCCTTCGCTGTCTTTTTAACGAACCATCACTGTCTTGTGTACGAAGTTAACAAGAATTTTTCAGGATGCGTTCTCTGAAACGAATGACGTTATCATCACTATAACTGTCGAAATAAGGAAAATGAAATTCGAAGACATAGCTCGAGTGTTAGGAGACGTTAGCTTGCGAGCGAGGGGTGAGACTTTTCAATGAGATTATGTGATAATTGTAGAACTTCATTTGTCCTCTACAAGAGTACACGTTTCTATGAGAAAGCGTAATAGTCTGCGGTTCTTTCTACAGTTGGGGTTCTTCAAAAAGTGCTGGTTTAATCACTACAAGTGAAAAGAGCAAACGTAGCACACAAAATTCTTTGTCCAGAAAGCAATTTTAGTTTTTTTCAGGATAAAAGAGACATGTATTCTTTCTTTGATGAGCTTACACAAGGTTGATAATGATGTTTATTTTCGGCTAACGTTTCGACGTCTTCGTCTTCCTCAGAGCCGACGATCCGAGTCGATGGTGGACGAATAACATGCGAGGACCATCGACTCGGATCGTCGGCTCTGAGGAAGACGAAGATGTCGAAACGTTAGCCGAAAATAAANTCGAAACGTTAGCCGAAAATAAACATCATTATCAACCTCGTGTAAGCTCATCAAAGAAAGAATACATATTGATTAGTGATACCGAGGTTTAAGGAAAGTCGGTTTCGAAATAAAAGAGACAGTTTGTCTTAGTCGTTACGGCAGTTCTGTTAAAGGTAGTAAAAAAAAGCTCTTGGTGGGGGATATTTTGCATTCATCAGTAAGTATAACACGCTAGGTCGTAACAAACTAGTTCCAGGAATTTCTTTGGATTGATCAGCTTACACAAGGTTGTTATGCAAATTTTATTCGGCTAACGTTTCGACGTGTTCGTCTCTCTCAGATAATCCTAGTCGATAGTTCATAGTCGTTCGTACTCTCGGTGTGGTGTTTTCGTCTTCGTGCCTAGTAGAATCTTCTTCAGTGAAGCACAACTCAAGGCAAGCTAACCCAGCGACGCTCTTTTATACAGGAAGGTTGTTGGTGATACTGATTGCTTGTTGATAATAATTTGTTATTCAACGAGCAATCCATGAAGAGATTGGAGACATCGAAACGTCCGCCGAATAAAATTTGTATAACAACCTTGTGTGTGATGAACGGTCCAAAGAAATTTACTAACTGTTCATGCCGTGACTATGTTAAAGTCGATTTAATAACAGTAATTTTAGGAAAGCTATCAAAAAATCAACTGTGGTTACTAACTATAACCTGTTATACCTTTTTATTTTCTGCGTACTATAATTTCACGGCAGGGTACTACTAAGCGAAATACAACCACAACGTTGCTGAGATATTTGCAAAACTCTGAACCTCACCACCACACCATGCGGGTCCTTTGTTTCGCCTGTCTAAAAATACCCCAAAATCCAACGAAAATCGCAATATTGTAAAACTGATTTTTAGCTCTTCTAGAGACTATAAAAACAACCACAACGTTTTTATAGATTTGGAGCTTTTATAGACAAAGGACCCACATGGTGTGGTGGTGAACGCGTTACTCCCCGGAAAGGACAATAGCGCGTTCGTTCCCCACCATAGACACCTGCGGTCCAGAGTTTTGCAAATATCTCAGCAACGTTGTGGTTATAACCTGTTAGTTTTTAAATTAGTATAGTATTTATCATTGATACCATCCAACTGTATTCCTGCTTTGGTAAATTAGTTGTTTTTTAGTTGTTGTGGTTTGCCTACCGGAGGGTTACGGCTTTAAGAGGACGTTTATCTTGGCGGCAAAGGATGCCGGATTTCTTAATGAGGAATACCTTTACATCTTCGCCGACACAAAGTCGAAAGGATTCTGTAAGAAGCCCTTAACAAATTTTTTATTACACTTAAACTGTAGGAAAAGTTTCGAAAATCATATAAGAGAAAATACAGTTATAATACTTTAACATTAGAAATAGTTCGTGGTTTCAGATATTCCTCTACTAGGTGGCAAAGAAAGATTAATATGGAAAGATGTAGAAACTCCAAGTGATGGTAGAGATGCGGAGGCAATGATGGCTTTCGGACGAACACTGGTCATATCAGATGTGTGTGAAAAGAAACAACACTTAGCAATTCGAAATAAAAGCCGTGTGTGGAGAAATTCGTGGGAAAGACAAGTCATTTAGTTAAATTCTGAAAATCGTGCTTCTAATATTACGGAAAGGTTCATGGGAAATATTCCCGTAACACTTCATGTGAATTATAACTTTCGAGGATATTAACACAAAACGCCTTTTACCCATAAGCTACTGGTAACTGAATTTTTAGCACATGGGAACAGGGGGAAGTGAGGACGGTTACGATGCTTTCAGCAAGGAAGTGATTTCAAGAATGAAAGACTCGCCATTCAACTGTGTGGATGATTGCAACAAAACCGAATATTCCTACGTAAGGAGCTACAATATTGTTCTTTTTCTAGTGTTCTATGTGCATGGTCATTTGATTTGCACGAGCCTTAACTTTCTGCTGTGCACTGCAATTAATTTTTTAACATTTCACTTGCCACCTTCCACCTGTCGACCGTCGATTAATCGTCGAATGGCTTGACAAGGCCTCAGTGAATCATCTGTTTCTCCCTGTTGAAGGCGAAAAAAGTCCAGATGGTTCTGCTCACTTTAAGGACTCTTCGGAATCATGCCTTTCTTCTAGCCCTTTCGTGAGAAACTCTGATCAACGGGTCGGTGGTCCTACGGCAGTGCGCTTGACATCCCGAAGAGCCTAGTCACTAAGGACTCTTGTTCGTCCGTTGTTATTCATATGCATTACGTGGCGAGCCCATCTTTTCTTTAATTGTCTAATGTGTAGAGCGGTGTCTTCGATTTCTGGCCTAGGTCAGAGCTTCGGATCCCTACACTCACTTGTGTGACGCGGGATACTCCTTGCATCTTCCTTTCAACTACGCGTTCTATAGGATTGAGTGATCTCTCATCACGCTTACGTAACGACCAGGTTCCTGACGCATGCGTTAAGGCAGCAAGAATCATACAGTCGAAAAGGTAGAGACGGACTAGTGAGTTCTTTGTTCTCTTTACTACATCCCTGATGCTGTTGAAAGCCTCTCTAACCGCTCGATTCTTTCTGCTCAACTCTGAAGCAAAGCTGCTCATCATAAAGGCTTCTCGAGCTAGTCGAGCTAGATAGACGCAACTGGAAAATTCGGAGACATTCGTTCGTTTGAGCATGAATGAGACTTACGAAACCAATCCATTCCTTACGAACATCGTTTCTGTGAGATTTAGTCGAAGGCAACTCCTCCCACCGGCGTTATCAGGGACAGTTAGCATGCGCTCCATCTGGTTAATTTTTAGTGTTATAAGAACGATGTCATCGGCGAATATGGTGTAATTGCGAATCGTCAATTTTCACTCCCATTTTCTCTGAAATTTACGCTGCCTAGTGTGTTTTTTTCAATTAAATGGTCTATTCAAGAGTTAGAGAAGGGTTTACATCTTTAAACTACTGCGCTCCTTACAGAAAACGGATACTTTACAACAGCTATTGCATGCAATCTTAAGATTTCGTTGAAAACACTACAGAACATAACGATGTTAAGAAAAGACGACTGAAATGTTAATTTGAAGCGAATATTGCGAAGGCCTCATAACGTGAACGCCGGATTGACCAGATGAATTATCAGCAAGAAAGTTAGCAGAAATGACGACGCCAGCCTCAACGGTAATGTTAAATTCTCAGAAGAGGTCGCTCATCTGTTAAACCATTTCTCAAAGAGACGCGTGGATTTGGAAGAGTCTTGATTAACGGAAGTCGAACGGGCTGAAGGAATGCAGGAATTGCTCCAATCCTTCACGATGCGCCGTGTTGAATAAAATTACCTAGTGTCGGATGAGAAGAATTTTCTCTAAATCAAGTCGTTGACAAAATCTTACAGTTATCATCACCTGACTATCCTAAGCTGAAATGACCCTAAAAACAGCTTCAAGAAAGTCGCTGTTTTCCAAAAGTGTTGTAAAGATAAACAATGTCTGATAAAAAATCGCTTTACATCAATTGCACTGACAAACTCGACACCATTGTTTAGAAACACGAGGTTATTGTCCCATAAATATGTCATGATTTCAAGATTCTAAATACTTATCCATACTGTCAACCTAGAATTTCGTCCGTAACAAGTGGCGGAAAAATCAGCGAGTATAACCTGACTGTAACACTGACAGTGTTTCTCAAAATGATTTCGAAATGGGCAGCTGTCGTGAGTAACATCTTCAGGCTGCTGCTTATGCCGGTGAACTTTTCGACTCTCTGTATGTCTATGCTCGTGCGCTAAACGCAACACTTAAGCAAAACGCTACCGCTCTCCGTAATGGAACGACAATCATCGAAAACGTCGAAATGACATTTGACGGTAAAAAATTATTAAATAGTAATTTATTTGGGAAAGAGATAACTTAAATCTAGTAGGACGAAAGTGGTACGTTTCGCAACGTTTCATGTATCTGGCAGTCGGATGGAGCATGCTGATATCAAAACGGTACCATGTGTTCTTCTAGCTGTCATTTTGATCATTTGATTCTGTGATCTCTTCGGAAAGCGTCGGTAAATAAGACAGAATGGCTAGGAATATCTGAAGGATGGGATTTTAAATAAACCAGGAAAAGGTCCAGTTTATGGTGAATCATCGTTGGCCTGGTGGGTGAAGCCACGCTTTTCGTCATCGTCCTATAATAGGATGCTCAGTTGTCAGAGACGGCGACTGAAGGCGATAATAGTAGAGTATAAAAGAACAAGATAAAGCTCTCGACACTGATCAATTCTTGAGGAATGCGCTATGCATTTGACTTCATTAAACATCGTTTGGAGGTGATTGAATGCATATCTGGCCTTTACAATGACTCGCGGTGGCCTACCGGTGCATTGAGCCAGTGCTGCTAACCTCCCAGACAGGTCTAGTTCTAGTTTGCCGATCCTGGAGGGATGGAAGACTTGGTGGGCCAGGGACGGGAATCGATCCTATATTTGTCTTGTAGGGCGTCTCTGACCACTACGCCAGACGCACCTTTACAGCAGAATATATGAGGGAAATATATGTTTACTTCACCTAACAAAGAGTACACGCAGCAACCTTCATGTTTTATGAAATGATCGGTCGCCCTGTTTCTTGTTTGTTGATGTCCATACTACACTAATCGCTGTTTTAAATACTTGAGGGCAATCAATAAACTTCTGTTGGCTACAATACAATGTTGCGAAATTGGTGTTTTCCGAGGAAGCGAACTTTTTTTCATCTGAATATTCACGACTTTCAGAAGAGTGTTTAACCTAAATATGAAAAACATGCCAGAAATAACCTTTGAGAGACGGTGATTAACAATGTTGAAGGCAGTGCTGAATAAATACGGTGCCAATGGTCTCTACTGGCACCTGTTGTCACTGAAAAAAAGCACGCATCTTGCTGGTGCACTTGCTCCTGAAGTGGCATTTTGTTCCTCGATCGGAAATTTCTTATACTGAATTTTTACTGTAACTATTTAATAGAAAATCCAAAAAATTGCATGCTTTTGAAGGTGTCCTTATCTTTTGAAATTTCTCTTCTCATATTAATGGCAAATAACAGAACACTTAACCGAAGACAACAAGCTGCTTATTGGAAGGGATAAAAGCGAGGAGTTGGTCCAAAGGGAACGAAACTGAAGCTTGGTCCTACTGCAACACACCTAACACTGCTGAAAATAAATACGATCTGTAGAGGATCTTTGGCTGGAAGAAGCTCAAAAACGATCTAGATTCAAGCAGTGCCGTCGGAATCTGTTTTATTATAGTGTTTCACAATCAGTCGTGGTGAACGAAAATGGGTCTTTTATCAGATCTTGCAACAATATCTGATCAATGACGGGAAAAATCCCACATTAATCCTTTATGTTCCACGGCTACATTTCGAACTCGAGCTCTCCGCTAGAAAAAACTATTCGGGATCCAATTCTCTGAAATTCAAGTCACTATAAAAAGCATTGAAGAAAGACGCAGTTCCACGATTCGATGATATTGCACTCGACTTAATTCGACTTGGAAGCCATAACTTACATGTCCTTCTCGGAGCCATAATGACATTTCACCTCCAGGATGGAAAAGTTGCAGATCATTGGAGGACATACTAAATGGTCATCTTGGTTATGAGAGATGACTGAAGCGATCAAAATAGCCATTGTTCGACATGCTTTCTGTATTTATTGTTTGCGAAGAATATACTGCTGCGTATTGTAGAAACTTTGGATGAGACATAACCAGATGAGCAAAAAGGATACCGATAGAGATTCTACTGCGTGGAAAGCATCTAGACTGCGTCGCAGCTCACAGAGGTCTGTTGGAAGTGTCATACACCTCTTGTGTAAGCTTTTATCGACCAACGAAAAAGTGTTTCACGGCTTTCAGAGTTCTAGACCAAGGAGTGGTCTCGCCTTGTATAGTAACTCTGGCTGAGCGTCATCGAAGTACACCGTAGAGGTACAGCTTTTATCTGATCTATTACTATCATCATTGAGAAGGATCGGCAAGGCAATACTATCAGACCAAAGCCGTATACTTCCGCAATGCAGTGAATAACAAAGTTGCTAAAGTGACGAAAGAACGACGTAACCATTGATGGCTAGTTCCTGTCAAATCATCGTTTTACTGAAAATATATCATCGTCTTTTCGAAAAGTATTAGTGAGCGAGCGACGTGCTTACTACTATAAACGAAGCAGTCAAAAAAAGAGACTGTAAAAAAGTAAGAATGAACCTATTCCATGGAAAACTCATGCTGAGAAAGTAGCGAGTTGATCCTGGTGTTTCTTCAATTTTAAAGGCCACTTAATAACTTGTTTGTTTTTAGTGAGCCTGAAAAACAGCATGAAGGACAAATTTTAAAAAAAGTGGTAGGGTAACACTGATCGCAATAGGTTCTGAGAAACTCCGCACTCACATTTTTGACCCAAAAATCTCTCCAGCCCTCTCATATACAGCAGGAATTTGAGGTGGTTTCGGGGATGTTGATACTACAACCACACGAATAGCTCTGCGTGTTGCCCATTGAGTTGATGGAGGATGTCTTCTGAAGCAGATATTCCGATAACCGAGAAGAAATGATGATTCCATAAAGATGCAATCATCTCGCGCGACCACATTAACGAAGTGCGGACGTGTTCGGTACACAACAACCCCATTCTCATTCGCAGATGGAGGCCGTGAACGGATCGCACGATGTGTCTCATCGATATCACCATGTTCGAAGCGGAGCACCACCATGGACGAGAATTGCGCGGGAAGAAAACCAATAGAAAATGCGCTAGGTCGCAAACTATTCGTGAAGATTTGTTATTGATGTATCCAAGAAAACATTTCAAGTGCTAACAAGAATTCTTGCAGGTATGTCTGGCGTTGTCAAAGTGGGCAAGAATGGAGTTCGATTTCCTAATTTCTATGTCGATGGTCTGGATAAAAATGGAAAACAAATTCTTCTTGGCACCGTTTCCGTTGAAGGCGATAGAGGTGTAAGCTTTTCGACAATTCCTGTCCTGGTATTAACATCCCAGAGTATTTTGGTGGCAGCTCATTAATTCGTTATTAAGTCGCGATCGCATAGGTTTTATCTTAGTGTTAACATTTTTTCTACCTTAGCGACTACTGGAGACAGCTCACTTGGACGTGTTTATCCACTCGCCACTGCTATTTTTAAGCCATTAAATTAGTTGAGTTCAGCTTTATGAGCCAATGTACGCGAGTGAGACGGGCATTTGGTGGGCACGAGGTGGCCTTAGACCACGTGATGAGCCGTTATGTGGATTCTCAGGCGACAAGGTACCGTAGACGATTTGCTCTTTAGAAATCATTCTCCGTCGTTTACAGCCTCATAGAAGAAAAATGAACGAATATGTTAGTGTAGTGGAATTAATTATGAAATGTCGAGGATTGTTTGCAATTTGACTTCTCTGAACTCACTTGGCTACGTGTGCGTTTTGGGTTCCCAATACATTACGTAATCATAATAAGTATTTACATAGTGATTCATTATTTTCCCGATGACAGGAAACGCGAATTTGTTATTACAGCCCTTATTAATACACAAAGGTGGCGGATAGCACAGTGATAGTGATGTCCGTTATCACGAACAAGGGGCTAGTTCGACTCCTCCCCAGACCACCCAAGTCTTTCATCTCTACGGAGTCGGGAAATTGATGCCGAGCTTGTCTGAGAAAAAAATCGCTCTCCTCAATTCAATTGGGAGCGCTCCAGCCCGGTTATCTAAGGACTCCAGAGAAAATTGCTGGACGAGCACTCTACGACATTCGAGATTAAATAGAAATCCTCAATCAGCAACAGAAACCACACGTGAAAGTTGGAAGATCTTCGTGGCCAATGGATGCGAGAAAACGAATCGAATGTAAAAAGTGCTGGAATCCACACGTAGACGTGAATACGAGTCATTTAAAATAAAAAAATAAAAAAACTAATATGTAATAGCTAACGTTAGCTCGGTTTAGCCTTTTCAAGCCTAGAAAACTCAAACTGATGCACAATCTACCCAGCCAAACTTTTCATAACCGCAGAAGATAAAATGCAATGCATAAATGCTTTTTTTAAAGATTTTAAAGTTAAGGTCGCGATCCTCACACAAAAATCCAAAACACCAGCACACAAAATTCTTGAAGGGTTTTTGATAAATTCCACAATTCCAAAAGTTAACAGCAAAGGGAAGTCTCTTGAGATCACGCCTAATGTTACTTATTATTTGAACTAAGCCAAGCACGTTCCTCGTCTGTGCAGTCGGTCTTATCAAATAACTTGAAGACTTACAAAGGACGAAACTGTGGGTGTTGAAGAAAGGCTATTTACTATGCGAATGGAAAGTTTATTTACTACGTTTTATTCGTAAAGTTTACGAAAGTGTTTGGCTGAGTAAACTGCGTCTCAAATTGACCTTAGGAGGCTCTGAAGAAGGCGAAGTTGCTGAGAGGTCAGTTACTGCGAACGAATAAATACTGTTACATAAACCTCATTCTTGCTTATCAAGAAAACGGTGAATTATTGATCAATGCCAATGTCAAAAGGAAGTCGTCCTTGTGATTATCTACACACTCTGCAATTTCCATTCATACGTAAATTAACACTTCAACGCTTTCGTAAAACTACATAGTATGCAAAAATGATCGATTTCTAGTGCCCGAGGAACTTCTTCAAGGAAAACGTGGCTGCCGTTGTGGCGATTGCCGTCGTGGTCGCGCTCATCATTTTTGCATTCATCTTCTCCTTGTGCTATGTATTCTAGTAAGTCCTCAAAAAAAATCAAATGAAAAGAGCAACCAAACCAATGTACATGTCTATTTAATTTAATAACTTAATGCTAGTACATCATCTCGAACACGGTACTGGTTTAATCCCGCCCCAGGCTCCGCAAACTTTCATTCCGGTGTCGGAAAACTGGTACCGGACTTGTACGGGAAGAAATCACGCTGTGCATTCTTAGCGGGAACGCTATAGCAGCAATTGAAGCCACAAATAAAAGTGGGAAGACCTTCATGGATGTTGTATCCGAGAAAACGATTCGAATGTGGGAAGTGCTGAGATTCGCACAGTAGTGCGTATAGACGGGTCGTATAAAACAAAAGGATAAAGTAAAGCTCTCGGCGCTGATCAATCACTAAAGGATGAGCCATGCACTGGACTGCATTAAGCACCGTTTGGAGGTGATTGAATGGATATCGGGCTTGCGGTGGTCTCCTGATGTGTTAAACCAGTGCTGCTATCCTCCCAAACAAGTCCGGTACCAATTTGCCGACCCCGGAGGAATGGAAGACTCGGTGTGCCATAGGCATGGGGATCGATTCCACGTACGTGTTGCAGAGCACCTCAGACTACTGCTGCGCTACACGCACCTTCGTGTAAAATAAAATAATATAATAAAAAATGCTAGCACCCTAATGAGCGGTTGTTGCTGAAGTTTGGATGTTTGTACATCCCCAGTAAATTAATCAGAATGACTCATGTTGTACAAAGCTATAGAGAAATTAGCGGCCAAATGCATGATCTGTTTTGAAATAATTAGTCTTTACATAGATTAATTCAATTGTCGGATTTTTGCATTTTTGGTTACTAGCTATCACATCAGTAATGTAAAACTTTGTGGCGATTTATATATAACAATTGGAATGCACTTGAAATGACCTATATCACCTGTAGTCCCGTTGATCGTCGAGTGACTCGAGCGGGCGCCAGTAAATCTTCCATTTTTCCCTATCGCGTGCAAGAATAATCTAGTGAGTTCTCCTTGCTCTAGGAAGCCGTTGTGCAGCACGTCTTTTTCTTAAAAATTTCCTGAAGCCCCTTTTATACACGATGCTGATGGTGGATATAATGATAATGTCCGGTGGTAACAACTTGTATTTCTTCCGGACATACATCATTGTTTAACTCTGCGTCGATGGACAACAGGTAATACCTGAAAAGTAGAACAAACCTAGGTAGTAAAGAGTAAAATTTCATAGAGAATAATTAAAGACGGAATGCTTGACAGCAAGCGAGCACTGAGTTTTCTCGACATGAACATTCTCCACGACGTCATCAGACTGGCTGAGACGGGAAGACGCCACCTATTCAACAGCGTCTATGGCAGCATAAGAGAACTGTTCCTCGGAACCTGCGATAACAGAGGTACCGGCAGCAGGCGTGCTCCTCAGAATTAGTTTGGCCAAGAGCAATGATTCATTCCAACTTAGCAATCCGAATCAAAGGTCTACAGTTAGAGAGATATGAATCAACACACAATAATCAATGTAGCTTTGACAATCTTTGCTGCTTAAGCGTGGAACTGTTGCTTAAGTGTGGCTCCGATAAAGGCAAAGTCGACATATAATAGTATGGGAATTAAGACGTTCTACAGAGAAGACCATACATTCTTTGAGGTCGTCATTACAGAATTCAACGCTAAGATATGACCTAAAAGAAACTCTAAAGAATGTGACATTGGACTCCACTGATTAGAATGAAAATAGCAGGATGGGTGAGTGCTTGGGTTTATCATGATAACCCGTATATCATGATTATCATGATTTTCTTTCATGATTCCAGAAGGCCCACTTTCAATGGTGGATACAGCAGTCTCAGCGGAGCAGACCGCAATAACAAAAGAGGCCAAATCGTTGAAAAACGAAGGTTTTGCCTAACCACTGTCGTTGTCGTCCCGAAATCCTACATAGGATCGGACCATTGCTTATCTAGGCAACATTCCATTTTTCGCAGAAAGGAGAGAAAGCCGCTAAGTTCAAAGAACGAAATTGAAAAAAAATATAAACCGGAAATAGTTTATAACATACAGAGACCCTCGGGAAGATGCCGTTATTAACAACATCGACGAGAAATATGACAGGCTTATTCAACATCGTTACGTTCGCACTATGAGCGAAACAGTTACAGCTTCCGAAAAGGCAAGTGAGAAAATTATTCGCGATTTCTTCAATTGCCACATTGTGGTGCCACACATGAAACAAAAGGCGGGTAGATATTTTCTTCCGACCAGTTTTTCTTTCTGAGATATGGAGTGCTATTTTTCATCTGTAAAAAATCGAGGAACACCAGGTCCGGACAGGATAAGACCCAAACACCAGAAGACCTTCCGCAAGGCTTCATCCCCACACTGGCCGGTCTGTTCATCATGTAGAATTACTTGTCATAATGCAAAGTTCCAATTTAATGGAAGACAACCAAAACCGTATTATTGCTCAAGAAGGATACCACCACGATATGCTCAGCTGTCTATCAGCTTATCCGCTTCTTGTCTATAATTTATAAACTTTTTACTCGAGTTATCCTAAACAGCGCCAACAGAACAATGGACGAAGGACAGCCATGAGAATAATAAGGGTTTCGAAAAAGAAGGTTCAATATGATGTACTGCATTCACATAACAGCAAGATTAATTAAAAGTGAAAGAGACGGCTCAATCCGACACTCGTCAATTTGAAAAAAGCTTTTGACTCAATCCCAAGATCCATGTTCTCTTAACCTCAGCACTATTTAGTAATTCATTGTTTTCTTTATAGGCAAAGTCGAGGTTGTCATTACAGCATTTATCAATAAACAATCAATCCCGTTGACGAGTGATTGATGGTAGCAGTGATCGTTAGAACTAGCTGAGAGGCAGGCGAAACGAAGGACCCGGATGGTGTGGTGGTGAACGGGTTACTCCCCGGAAAGGGCAATAGAGCGTTCGTTCCCCATCGCAGACACTTCAGCACGAACCTGTGTTCGGTCAGTGAGTGGTGTCATTCCATTACAATATACAGCAAACTAACATAAAAACTATCATTATGTAAATATGACACTTTGTACCAGGGACAAAATGCCCAATAAATCAATTTCTATATTGGTGCTACTCTTCAGGAGTGAACAGTCAATGAGTTTCCACAGCTCTGCCCTGAATGAAACGATTTATCGTTGCCATAAGAATGACATCAATTCGGTAGCTTAGTGGAGTAGCTTCTGATATAGCAACGTTCACGGCAATAATTAGGTCAACACTTATAATGCTGAGATATTAGCAAAACTCCGGACTGCAGGTGTCTGCGGTGGGAAACGAATGCGCTATAGTCCTTTGAGGGGAGTAACGCGTTCACCACCACGCCATTCGGGTCCTTCATTTTGCCTGTGTCTCATAGTAACGCCTATAAAAAGGTTAAGATTGTGATTATAACTATAGCCTCAGCTTAACCGGGTTCAATGCCGATTTGGAGTCGTCAGATCAATTCCGTTGACGGGTGATTGCTGATGGCAAAAGATCGATAGAACTAGTTGAGAGACAGGTGAAACGAAGG